CACAACCCTAACCCTAACCCTAACCCTCATTGCAATCTTTAAATATCACATTATCACTGACACTGGCAGATTGAGAGGTGACCATGTAACATGCTTACATTTTGGAATGTCCCTCTCTCCTCCAGTGTGGCTAGCGGCTACCTGTATGTGACCATCATCTACAACATCTCTGTCAGTCTGTCGCTCTACGCCCTCTTTCTCTTCTACTTTGCAACACGTGAACTTCTTGTCCCGTACAGCCCCGTACTCAAGTTCTTCATGGTCAAGTCAGTCATCTTTCTTTCCTTTTGGCAAGGTGAGAGAAACACACACACACACACGCTGCTGCTACAATTTCTCTTTTTATTTGTTGTGTTGTGTTGTGTGGTGTGAATCTATCTAATCTGGTGCCAAAACTCAAATCATCTTTTTTTGAGTTAGGCATGCTGCTGGCCATCCTGGAGAAGTGCGGAGCCATCCCTCAGATCAGCTCTGCGGACTTCTCAGTGGGCGAGGGAACAGTTGCTGCAGGTTACCAAAACTTCATCATCTGTATCGAGATGTTCTTTGCTGCTGTTGCTCTGCGCCATGCCTTCACTTACAAAGTCTACATGGATAAAAGACTGGACTCATATGGTAAAAGAAGTGTGTGTGTGTGTGTGCATGTGTTTGGGAGGTTTTAAGAGACTGGTATCTTTAAAAGTAAATTTAATTGTGTAAATAATGACAAAAGTTTACTTATTAGGTTGTTTTATTGTGTTACTCCATATAATCTGAATTTACAGGACTCTTGATATTCTGAATTCTACAGTCTTTCAGAACTGACTTCACCCCTTGTACTTTTCTATCTGAATATTTAGTCTTTCTCTTTTCTTCTGCTCTGTTTTTCTATTTCTTTATTCTTGTCTTCCTCGTCTCCCTTTTTCTCTTTTTCCTCTCTTCTCCACTGTGCTGCACTGAAAGGCTCATTTCCTATCTATGGACAGTACGGTAGGTCTGATGTCAGCTGTCTTTCATCTGTATCTGCAGTTTTGTTTGTTCCAGTGCTTTTTCTTTGTGTGTTTTCATTGTGGTTGGATATCTATTATTTCAACATGGTGTTTTCAGCATGAATTCAGTTGATGCATCTAGACTCATGGGTGTTTTGTTTTGTTTCCTTTTGCTCATTTGTTGTCAGTGAAATCAGGCGATGGACATTTGACCCATTTGTTTCTTCTGGCATATATTTGTCTTTTGTATGTTCCCCACTCTTTTGTAAATAATGAAATCCCTGCTTCCTAGTGAAACTCCAGTAATATCTTACTACCTTGCTTTATTGTATAATCCATTGATAACAGAATTATTTCTTCCATCCTGCTGATTCAATTTTACAAAAGTAGTTATTTTAGCCAACAAATTACCCTTGACAGTTTGATGAAAACAGTTTCTGTCATTTCATCCCTGTCTCTTGAATATTTCACCTTCCCCACTTCCAGGTCGCTGTGCCCCAATGAAGAGCATCTCCAGCAGCCTGAAAGAGACCATGAATCCAGGCGACATGGTCCAGGATGCCATCCATAACTTCTCTCCAGCTTATCAGCAGTACACCCAGCAGTCCACGTTGGAGCGAAGTGGGGGGCCACCCCTCTCCCGCAGCCACAGTAACCTCAGCACCCGCGGGGATAATGAAAAGACTCTGCTGCTCAGCTCAGATGACGAGTTCTAAGACTCAAACACACACACACACACACTCAGAAATTCACTATACTCAAATCAGATCTTTTGTTTCAACCAGAATGTGGAAGATTTGATTCGGGTCTTTGTCTTTTCTTTAACACGTGTGGAGAGCAACAAAAGATCCGATTCATGATACACTTGTGATTAGCAGACCGCAGGAGGGGAACGGGTGTTTTACAAGGAATAAGAGGAAACAAGGGTAGAAAGAGAGTGTGAAGAGAGACGAGTGTGTCGTTATAAAGTTAAGGAGGAGAGAGACGGGGAATATATGTTAATTTATAAAGGCCTTCGCTGATAGACATACAATATCTCCATTAATCTGCTGACTATGAATTAGTACAATTAACCATGCCTGCTTATGCTACACTTTAGACTCCACAACACGTCAATATAAGGTGTATGCAAGGGAAAGTGCCATCCTCATCTGAAACACACAGCCTCCTCCTTTCTTTCGTTTTTATACTGTTTCTTAATGCATACTCCTCCTCACACCTCTGCCAACTCTGCCTCTTACCGAAACATTGCCAAATGGGGGGAGCAGCCCCCTGCACTTTAGTCAATGAGACACACTGTCTTAAGATCTAGAATTGATTTATAGTCCAGAAAACAAAGGAGCCTTTGAATTGCTGTGCTTCGTTTTAATATATATAGCAATTGAAACGCAAATATTTTTTTATTTAAATGCTGTATGACCTTGATGGTAAAACTCATTTAAAGACGAAAACTGTTGTGTGTGTGTGTGTATGTGTATATACACATAAATACATACATGTATATACATACACATTATGTGTATATCTTGATTTCTTGTGGGCTCATGTGCACAAGTGAATCCAAATGGTATTATTAGTATGACTGTGGCTGTTGGCCCAATTTGGGCTCCACGCACAATGTTATTGTTTGTGGAGCACAGAGAGAACAGCTGTAGGAGAGATTTGAGCGTGGGCATAGGGACTGACGGAAGGACAACACCCACACAGATTACTGAAGAAGCAACACTACAGAGCCCGCCCAGCTGTGATGTGCTGGGGATTATATTCCCTAATTAATGGCATTAGAGGCCGCACAGATCAGGCCTGCCACTGCTGGTGCTGCTTATAATGGCATCCCTGATATAGCAGCAGGAAGTGAGTCAGGACATTGGTCACTCCAGACAGACAAGGACATGTAAAGGCATTAAATCTGATTGAAGTCACATTTTCAATAAGAATATATGGGCATTAAAAGTTAGAAAATGTAAAATGACAGTTAGAAAATATATGTTAAAGGGACACACGCTACAGAAGAAAACATTAATGCATGGTGGAGTGAGTCAAACCTTTGGGCCTGTCTGACATGCTCTTGTTTATTTTTATTTTGGGAAACAGAATTGGAACAGTTATTTCTGTTCCTATCTTTTACTTAAAAGACGATAGTAACTCTATTTGAATTGATGGTTCGTGCTGTTATCAACTGACGTTTAATGTGTTTTATCCGTGGCTGGTGTGGAAGATGTTTGTGAGTGAGACTCCTTCATGGCAGGACACAGTGGTGTAAAAGCTGACTAGATTATTTGGACAGGGGACATAAGGCGTAATGGTGACATAATGTACGTTGACGTTTTTTGTTTATGTTGAAAGCAGAATCCAAACAGATTGACTCAGTATTGACTGCAGGTAAACATACAGTACAATACAGTCCTCATGAGTAATGAATGTAGTCAGAAAATAAAACTAACAGCCATGCTCATCCTCAACAGTGCACAATCATTTACTTTTGAGAAAATTGTATTCAATTCAAATGTAATTGTTTAAATTGTGGAACCCAACACTAGTGGAAACAACAGTGAGTCTCTGGCTGTGACTGCTGAGCCATAATCTTCCAAAAACCTCCTATACTCAATAATAAATGCGTTCACTTTTTGCTGAGCCTGCAGTTAAAGACAATGTCAGTTTATTCTGTTTACTTAACATTAACTTAATGGTATTGAAAAAGTGAAATTCACTGCCTCATGCTGTTACCTAGGGGCAAAGTATGTCCAATTTAAGCATCTTTATTCAAAACACTATCAGATGATAGTTTTGTTACTATGTGATTTTAAAGCTGAATATATTAAACCAGGAGTTTTATTCCAGAAAGGAAAGAATGTTGTAAATAGAGTTTAAACTAGGCACTGGAAACATTCATGATGACCGAGATGACATTGCCTGGTAATGTGCTTTGTTTTCATATTTTAAAATTTCATATATTCTCTTTTATTTCTCTTGTGTACTTTTTCATTTGTATATTGGTAAAGTTTTCTTGTGTTTTGATGCTATATCGCTTTCTGTTGGTGTTGACAAGGAAATAAAAGACAAATGGAAACAAGACACCATGGTTTTGTCAGAGAGCGTTTGCTTCTTAGCCTGACGTAAACACCACTGACACACACTTCACCTACATAGTTTTTGTTTGGTTTCTGAGCCACCAGTGAACAGAGTTTATTACAGAGTATATTTGTGATGAGTGTGTTTTGCATCTAAAAATACAGTTGAGAACATCTGCACTGGAGAATTGGATTAATTCATATCCTACAAATGTGTAAATGATTTATGAATAAACACGTAAACAGAAGAATAGCTGCAGCAAACACTGATGATAATAATAATAGGAAGAAGTCAATCATACTTAGGGGCGGGGCTTTCCCAGCAGTCAGCCAATCAGAGTGGCTAGCTGTCACGGCTAACAGGCTAACAACAACAACAACAACATAGCTCAGCCTGTAGCTTCTTGTTGTTTTGTCAGTTAGTTCAGCTGAAGTTTTATTTTTTTTACGCTTTGAACTCGTGTCTCAATTTGACATTTGACTCTTCAACAAGCCTGAGTTCAAGCGACAGTTCCTTCTTTCCCTCCATCCTCCGAGTTAACTGTGCGTCGGGTGTAGTCAGCTCGTCTCGTTCAAGCTAGGCCTGACGAGACGAGAAGCGAGAGCTCCTCATCAAACTCATTGAGATAAATAAAAGCTCCAGTCGTTGGACATTAACCCTCCAGAGGAGCTTGTCCGTGTGTCCTCAGAATGAGAGGCTCGCACGGGGACAGAGATCGAGACCGCGGCCGTGACAGAGGGTAAGACACCCAGCTAGTTAGCGTTGGAGCTAATGCTAACGACTAAAACGTTGTTATTATGAATTGTCTGATGCGATTAATCGTGAATTTATTAATTGCGCAAACAAGGAAAAGCCAGCAGTTAAATTCAATTTTATCCAACATCAATTACTGTATTTCATGTTTGATGATATACAAATTACAGGAGATTAATACTAACGATAAGAACTTCACATATAAAGCACTTGGTTAGTGGTCCTGAAACTAGCCCACACAATGACTGTCTCTGTTATCTACGCAGCAGCCCTCGTTTCGGGTCCAGCAGAGGAGGCCCACCGCCGGGTAAAAAGTTTGGGAACCCTGGGGACCGTTTACGAAAGAAGAGGTGGGACCTGGATGAGCTTCCCAAATTTGAGAAGAACTTCTACAACGAGCATCCCGAAGTGCAGCGAATGAGCCAGGTATCCCTGTAGTGTCTCAGTCTGATCCTCTGATGCAGCTACACAACACAACACAACACAGAGAGTCAAGTGTAATGTTCAGTTTTGTGATCCTTGTTTGTTTTCTGGTGCTTTCAGTATGATCTTGAGGAGTATCGCAGGAAGAAAGAAATCACCATCCGAGGTTCAGGCTGCCCAAAGCCTGTCACCAACTTCCACCAGGCACATTTTCCCCGTAAGCACGCATCTCCCTGACACAGCAGTTCTGTGCATCTGCTGGCTGCTAATAGAGATATTCAAATGTTTTTTTTTTCTGCCTCTTCCATGAAGAGTACGTAATGGATGTGCTGATGCAGCAGAACTTCAAGGAGCCCACAGCCATTCAGGCACAAGGTTTCCCCCTGGCCCTTAGTGGGAGAGACATGGTGGGCATTGCTCAGACTGGCTCTGGGAAGACCTTATCGGTGAGATACACATGTTGCTCAATTTCTGTGCTTGCAAAGGTGAATATATCATTTAGCAACAAAATCCTTTTTCTCTCTTCAGTATCTTCTGCCTGCAATTGTGCACATCAACCATCAGCCTTACTTGGAGCGAGGGGACGGACCCATTGTACGTGAAGAGAAACCAAATACAATGCTTTAATATTAGAATACATTTTTCGTGTTTAACACAATAAACAGTGGATTGTTTGTGTTCTTTGTAGTGTTTGGTTCTGGCCCCAACAAGAGAACTGGCGCAGCAGGTCCAGCAGGTGGCATATGACTATGGAAAGTCATCACGCATCAAAAGCACTTGTGTGTATGGGGGTGCTCCCAAGGGACCTCAAATCCGAGACCTGGAGAGAGGTGAGGAATTTACACTGTTTGGATTAATGCGTACACAGTTTTGTGTTACATAAATAAGATTTGTGTTTATCTCTCCAAGGTGTTGAGATCTGCATCGCCACTCCAGGTCGTTTGATTGACTTACTCGAGGCTGGAAAGACCAATCTGCGGCGCTGCACATATCTAGTTCTCGATGAAGCTGACCGCATGTTGGACATGGGCTTTGAACCACAGATTCGCAAAATTGTGGATCAGATTCGGGTAAAGTTGAAATGGGGATGTGGAAAAAATATTTTTGTACACTATTAATCTTGTCTTTCAGCAACAAGTACATTTCCTGCTGTGATGATGTATTCATTTAGTTTTATTGTGTTTTTATGAACTATTATTAAAGAGTACAGTATCTTTCTGTCTGTTGATTGCTGTTCATATGATGTGCTCTTTGTGCAGCCGGACAGACAGACCCTCATGTGGAGTGCTACCTGGCCTAAAGAGGTTCGCCAGCTGGCAGAGGACTTCCTGAAAGACTACGTCCAGATTAACGTTGGAGCGCTGGAACTCAGTGCCAACCACAACATCCTACAGATAGTTGACGTCTGTATGGAGAATGAGAAGGACCAGAAGTAAGAGGCTGGTCACAGAGCAAAAATTTCTTTTCCTGCCTTTGTCAATAACTGCGTTTGCTTTGTTTTCTTATGCTTTGTAGTTTTTCTTTCTTAATTCTTCTTACTTTTTTCTTGTTTTTTTACGTGATAATTGAGGTAGAAATCTAGAAGAATAACTTAATAAGTAATTATTTTCATGTCATCTGTAATTACCTTGATCATTTTTTCCCTCAGGCTGATCCAACTGATGGAGGAAATCATGGCTGAGAAAGAGAACAAGACCATCATATTTGTGGAGACCAAGAAGAGATGTGATGACCTCACACGCAGAATGAGACGTGATGGGTGAGTACAACAAGCTCAAAATACTTTTTACACTAGATTAACTCATCCTATCACCAGTGATTCATTATGGTTCCATATAGTTTAGTTTGTGCAGGTTTTATCATGTTGCTTTCATGTTTGGTTATAACCATGTTTCTTTTCTCTCCAGGTGGCCAGCGATGTGTATTCATGGCGACAAGAGTCAGCCAGAGAGAGACTGGGTGTTGACAGGTACAACAAACACACTGACACATGTGAGCAACAGTGACTTCATGTTCATGCTCTGAATCCTCTTTGTCTTGTATTACAGAGTTTCGTAGTGGCAAAGCTCCCATCCTCATCGCTACTGATGTGGCCTCACGTGGTTTGGGTATGTCATATGTGCTCAAGTCAAACATATACCTTCCTCAGTATTACCATTCACTGATACAGTACACATACAAAATATTTGCCCATTTACAATGTAGAATAATATGAACTATGATGAGTACAAGCTTTTCACTACATGTTCCTGATCAAAATTCAACCACAAACACATAAAGATTTGCTTTTCTTACAGAGAACATGTAATATATTCTCAGATAAAGGGTGTATCTAGAAAGTGTATCATATTTGAAGCAGGATTAATCCACTGTGCTCTATTGAATAACACTGAGGAACACTGAACACAGGAATGATGTTGAATGAAGATGTAAGGGGTGAGGCTCGTGAAGTAGCCCCTTACAGGATGGCAATCGACCTTTAACCTAATTCTATGTTCATTGTTTTTCTTTTCATTTTGTGTTTGTTTATTTTTTGTTTCCAAGTCTCTCTTCCGGCAACTAGAAGCACACAGGCCCTCGGGAGCCTGCAGCCGGACCTAGGCATGACAAATCGAAAGCTGACTTGGGGAGAGAGACGGCCTGATTAATCAGTCCCAGACACAGCCATCTCTGCTGAAAACCTAGAACAGTGCCCACAAACAAAACTCTCCCCCCTTCCAGGACACTGGCTCCCTGGGCGTCAGGGGGGAGGGGTCAAGCGTGGGATGCTGCTGCTGGGCTTCCAAATTTGGTCCTAGGGTCGGGGGCAGCTGTCAGGTGAGAGGGCAAAGACGGGGGTGCGGTGGAGGCTGGGCTCCCCTTGGCCATGCCATCATCACAGGGACACACCACTGCATTTCCTGATTAGGTCAACACAGATTTAAGTTTTCAATATCTGCATTTTTTCTGATCAGGTAGGGATCATCAAAACTTTGCTGTGCGGTCTTGTAGAAGATATTTTACATTTCCAATAAGTTTGGACAACAGATTTTTTTTAACTCAAATTAGTCCTGCAGATATTACACCCAAAGAGATGATGCTTAAGTTCGGTGAAAGTGAAATGCAGTGGTGTGGTACCAGAAGACAAACGCACAACTGCCAGGAAGTGAGGGTGGAAAGCAGCCAAAGCCGGACATGGACGGCTATACTAGAGGCTCCCCTCTAAACTGCCCCCTGATGCCAGCCCCTGACACCCCCCACCACTGGCTGTGCCGGCCGGCCTCTCCCTCTGCGGACGTCATGTCTGGTCCTGGCTGGCAGGAGTCCTGGCCTGGAGGAGCCACCTCTATAATCGACTTCCCTCTCTTTCACTCTTGTTTCTTTCTGTCCTGTCTTTCACTCTCTCTCTCTGATTCTTTACCCCCTTTAAGTGTCATTTCTTTTTTTTTTCTCATTTTTGCTGTTATTTTCTGTCTTTTTCATCACCTCTGTCTCTTAAAGTTTTCCTTCTTTCTCTCATTCATCTCTTTTCTCTTCCGCTTTCTACCACCCTTTCCCTTCAACCTCCTCCCTTGTGTTCTCCTGTTACCTTCTTGTTATTTTCTTTCTACCATTTCTGACATATGACCCTTTTGTCCTGAAACCACCACGTGTCCCTCTTTCAATTTTTCTTTGTATTCATCATCCTAAACCACCGGTTATGTCTGTGAATAACTCACCAGCTTTTGAGGACTTTCTAAGCCCTGCATAAGGACGAGCAAAAACCTTCAGGACACAAAGTCCATGTTAGAGCCCACTTAGAGAAAACTTCGTCATGCCTTCTTCTTGGTCTCTGTTTCTTAATACTGACCTTGAAATGCTGGGAACTATATCTCTGCCTTTGGCCTGGGAGGCTTTTGGAACAAGCCACACCAATGAATGAGACCATAACCCCCCCCCCCCCGAAAAAGTAACCCTGGTACAAGAATAAGTCTCTGACAAAGACTTGAGCTCCTTGAAGTTTAAATAACATTATTCAGTAAAGTCCTCAACCTTGTACTACAAACAGCAGATCCAGCAGTATTGTCTCCAGGTCAGTAAAAAGCTTGGGGACACGAAGAGGTACAAAAAAAGACTAGAGTAGGACCACATCCCAGCACAGTACAGCTGGAGGTCTGGCCCTGACAGTTTCCAGCTTTGGGAGTGTTGTGGAGGAGTGGCGAGGTTGGAGAAGGGACAACTTTTGTCCTGTGCACTCTCCTCCTACCCCTGCAGACCTCCCAGGACTGGTGATGGGTCGGGCGACAGTGGGGTTACTTTGTAAATCACTGAATCTCTGATCCAGGGTAAGTATCGTACCTCAACACCCTCCCTTTCCCCATCTCCTCTGCCAGTCTTCATCATTACGCTTCCAAAACAAAGTCTTCTTCTGTAATCAGCAACGTTTCTTTTTTTTTTATCGAACCTAACGAGAAACAGACCTCTGTTTTGTTTTGAGCAGATATTTTATTCCTCAGAGAAATTCACTTTCTCAGTTGATTCTGATACTTAAGCCATTACTCATCAACCGCTTAAGAAATATTTACTCAAGAATCAGCAGATCAGTTTTGGGCCACTTGCTTCTCAAAATGTGTCTTGATATTTTCTAAATTATTCAGCAAACCACATTTCCATCACTTAACTCAGTAGCTCTGGCTGCATGTAAACTAGTTGCTTGTGTGCAAGTATGTAATTATTATACGAGATCACTGAGCTCTGTTTTGTAATTGGCATGGTAAGTGGAATCATTTTCTCATTGTATATTTGACAAACTGACAGGTAAGTGGTGCTTTCAGAAGATGATGGGTGTCTTGCAGGTATTGTCTGTCTGAATGTTCCTACTTTCAAAAGCAAGAAACTTAAAAATTAATGAATCGACTCAATTGATTGACTCGTTATCAGCAAGTGTTAGTTTTGTTCTGACTTTTCTTCTTCTTTTTTTTATCCCCCACTGCTGCCTCCAATGTCAAGATGTGGAGGACGTCAAGTTTGTCATCAATTATGACTATCCCAACTCATCGGAGGACTACATCCATCGCATTGGGCGTACAGCGCGCAGCACCAATAAAGGCACTGCCTACACCTTCTTCACTCCAGGGAACCTCCGCCAGGCCCGTGAGCTGATCCGGGTGCTGGAGGAGGCCCGACAGGCCATCAATCCCAAACTGCTGCAGCTGGTGGACACTGGCCGTGGAGGAGGCGGAGGAGGTGAGGGAGGGTTGACTTAATATGGAATCAGGCAGATCAAGCAAACATAAAATGCTGTTGACCCTTTTTTTCGAGTGAGAGAAATTCAGCCTCTTTTACCTTCTTTGTCCTCTCTCATCGTTTCCAGTTGGCCGTCCCCGTTTCCGTGGCACCTCCAATTCTAACAATCCCAACCTGATGTACCAGGACGAGTGTGATCGGAGAATGCGCTCTGCAGGTGGGGGGGGCGGCGGCAGCGGCTCCAAGGACAGTCGCGGCAGCAGCAACTACAGTCGCGACAACCGAGACAGTCGTGGTGGAAGTGGCCGGGACGGGGATCGCTCCTCCTCCTCCTCCTCATATAGAGATCGCAGCAGCAGGGATGGAGGACGCAGCTACAGCTCCAGCTCGTATGACCAGTACCAGAACAACAGCAGCAGCAGCGGCCCGTACAGCAGCTCCAGGAACGCCTCTGGCTCAGGGGGCAGCCCCACTCCATCATCGGTTCCCCAACCTCTGATGGCCCAGCAGTTCAACCCTCCCCAGCCCATGATGGGCCTGATGGGACACTCACCATTCCAGTTCGCTCCTCCACCTCCCCCTCCTCCAGCAGGTAGAAAGTAATGTGATCTGGGCAACACGCAACACGCAACACACACACACACACACACACACACACA